AATTATTGACAAGAGTGACAGATAAAGCCTTGACGTTCTTTCAGTATTCCAGTTCATCTCTTTTTCTTTCTAAAGTGTGCGTTGAAAGGAGACAAAAACAATTTTTGGTGACCCATAATTTGTTATTCGAACACCACTTTTCTCCTTGTCGGGTCGTTGACGTTGACTTGTCGCCATTTTATTTCTTTTGTTTACACGCTGCATTTTGCTTTGCAAATTTAATACATAAATTATTTAGGCAAATATATAGGTTTTTAATAAAACTCCTCGGACTAACGTGTAGGTAAGTGTTGATAATTTTTTTTTCATCTTAACATGCTCATTGTCGTTCTCCTGATTTTAGGTGACAGAAAAGGATCATCAAATCAAATTGAATTTTATATTTTCCTTCCTATTTATCCTTCCTAAATATCAACGAGATGAGCCATCGGAAGAAAGGGACCATAGTACAAAACAGAAAGGTGATCTTTTTTCTTTCCACTTCGGATATTGAAATTATTATATACTGTAGTCGTGTTCGGCATTATGCTCTGAGAAATATAGATAAACAAAGAACAACAGATATAAAGCATCCCAGAGGAAAAGAGAGGCAATACCTGTATGTACTCTCTCTGATATTTGTGAAAGTTACAGCAAAGTATTGTTGTAAATGTCATCTTTTTGATCGACCTGAAAACTTCGAGCAAAAAGATGACACTTTCAACAATACCCTGACAGATATCAGAGACGATACAGGTTTTTCCTCTCTTTTCCCCTGGAATACTTTTAATTTATTATTCTTTGTTTATCTAGATTTCTCAGAGCACTATGAACGAACTCAGCTTGTATGTTTGAAATAATCGTCCAGTTGGCTTAAAAATGATGATCGAAGACATTTCCCATATAATTTTACTTTCAAAATTATGATATATCTTTTATTTCTAAGCCATCTATGACGCCATTTTTTTCAGTTTTGTTATAATTAATTTTGTCTCTTGATCTACTTGTAACATTATTCTTTTAATTTTATTAATTTATTGTGGTGAAATTAATTTCTGTTGTATATTTGATATTGATATTAAACATATTTTTAAAAAATGGTGTATTTTTTGTGTTTTTGTGTATGTCATAATTAAAAATAAATGAAGAAATAAAATTGTTTATTTTTTTAAACTTCCCGCCATGCGTGACAATTTAGTCCGTAGTTCCTACAAGCGAAATTGGGGGCGCTAGTAGCAGTAGACTTGTCAACAGTGTCAAATTTAAACGTCAATTTCACTTTCCAATATTTAGCAAGGCGCTCGCACTTCTTCTTGTGTATGTGTTTTGTGGTGTCAATACTGTCGATAAACAGCTGATTGGCATGATCAGCTGTTTGCCGTGCTTTTATTTTTCCATATTTCTTAACTATTAATAAACTATTAATGTATAATTGTTTCATTTTATATAAAAGACCAAAATTAGCATTTAAAATGGGTCTACACTGGCAAAATGTGTGAGAATAAAAGAATTTAAACATCGTCATTTCAAAAGTAAGTACTGTTCTGTGGTAATACAACATCTCGTTTTATTTACCTAAAATATTTACCATATTTGTTAAAATTTGTTTATTTGTTTTATAATATAATTTTGTGAATATAATATATTATGTATATTATAAGAAGTAATGTTTATATTTTTGTTACAATATTGTCCGATTTAAAATCGTATATTTGTATTTAATTATGAATACAAATAATTTGTATGTTTACATAAATTATAATTGGTATGTTTACATTTGTAAAATAATGCCTATTTACGTTTTCTATTACTAAGATAAATATTTTATTTCAGATTTCTAAAAGATAGTGAGAGAAAAATTAAATGGTTTTCTCTGTTAGGATTTATTCATAGCATAATATTAAAAAGTCGAGCAAAAGAGAACTCAAGAACAGCTGATTTTTTTATAAGGAATTGAAGAAAATATTTAAAATCTGATGATTTTCACAGCCATTTATGTCGCGATTTGTGGTCTTTCAGTTGTTTCAACATCACCTAGGAAATTAACATTAAGATATCAGGATCCTGCATATAACGAGATAAGAACTATGATCTTGTTAGGATACCTATTCCGTCACAATATGTAAGTACATATATATTTACAGTTTAATTTTTTAATATAAAATATTACTATATACTAATATGTATACACAGATTCAAAGTGTACAGGGTGGTGCCTTTCATACGATATGAAGGTTTCAAGGATTTTTGTTGATGGAAGTTTGTATTGAAAGAACAAATGGAGGGTTTAGAAATCAATCAAGTCATACAAATTCACTTTCATTTTCCTTGGAGCCTTCGCGTCCTATGAGAGGTGTTACCCTATATGTATATAGATTTGTATATATATATATATTATATTAATATTATTTTACTAAAATTACACTATAGTTGTATAAGATCTCACCATCGAAAAAAAAAACAGCGTTAGGGTTGGCTTTGAAAGCAAGATTTATGTAATTTTTTAAAATGTAAATTTATGTGGTGAATGTCATTGATCGTCAATTTTATTTTGCTCACAATGTATACTCAATGTAGATATTTATATTCACCAACTTCATGTTTATATTTTGTTTTAGGAAGTGAAGATATTCATGGTGTGGAAGTCGTTACTTTAATTACATAGTGCATATGAAATTGGTCCTTTACATCATGTTTAAAATTGACGTAATGCTACTATGCAAAATAGTGAGAGATGTGAACCCTAGGCAGAGCTACAGAATTACTTTTGTTGAGAGACAAATTATGATAGTGATTAGAATCGCATATTCTAGACTTTTACTTAAAAAATGATTTGTTCGGAATGAACTTTTATAGTGTGGAGGAATACCTGCAAATTATAATATGAGGCCTACGTATATGATAATTTTATTATGATCTGTTGTGTTTGTTTTTTTATATTTTGTATTATATATTTGTGTTAGCTTTAAGAATTTATTGACTATTCCTATACAATTGTACATTGTTTTATGGAAATAAATAAATGATTGATTGATTGAATAAGTTAGGAAACCATACGATCGAGAAAAAAACGGCTTCAAAGGCGACTGGGGAATGAAAATATGATAATTTCAGTGAGGTCAAGCCCTAGAAGTCATTTTCTTGGCTCGTACTATTTTTTAAAGGCGCTCTAAGGTTGTAATTTATTTTTACATTAAGTAAATATGATTTTTAAATGGTGTAGTTTAAGATTGACCTCGCTAAATTATCAATCGTCATTCCTCAGCCGCCTTTGACGCCGTTTTTTTTAGACTATTTGCTATAACTATGTTATCTGTTATGCAAATACATATGTCAACAAGTAAAAAGCCAATGAGAAATTAGTTTCTGCTTGGATCCTTACAGTGGCATTTAACAAAATATATATTTTTTCAGGTTACAATATTTTATTTAATATGAACCTGTAAATGTAAGAATATTATACATATATTATATTTTTTACTCAGTCCCTAAATATATTATTAAAATACAACACTTGTGTTTTTTATTAATATCGTGTTATGATTAATACCTAATTAATGTAAAATTATATGGTATGTAAATATCCTTACACTGAGAATTCGTTTGGTCAAAATATTACTCTCTTACTAATATGAATTTGAAAACTACAGAACATTGTTTTTTTTTAGTTTTTGTGCTAATATTTCCACTTAAAATTACCGAATATATTTATGGTATAGGTAGGAAAAGATGAATTTTGTGCTTTTTAATTATACATTATATTAATTATATTATTATTGTAAATAATATCTACTGATATTTAATATAAAAAATAGTTATTCACATGCATCTATTTTTCTTTTGTAATTAATACTATCTAAATAACAAGACATCTTATATAATAGATCCATTAACATTTTAGTTTATCAATTATCAATCACTATACGATATACAATACGTATAATATCTTTTAATTATATCTAACTTTTAATTATTGAATATTTAATAAACAAATTTTTTATAGTGTTTGTTAAATATTTTATAGCATATACTATTATGTATTTATAATAATTTATTAGTTTTATTGCATGAACATATTTTTAAAATTTATTATTAAAAAATATTTTATCTTTGCCTCTAACCACCTACTTCTATATCTCTGGCTTTTACTTTACTATCATCAATGAATCTCAAGGTTAAATTCTGTTTTGATGCTCTTCGGCTGTAAACTCCCCTACCACTTTCCTCTTTACCCCGCTGTCCATAAACTATGGTAGTGGGGGCACTCACCGATAAAACGATGTAGGCACCTCGATTTTGTGAATTTATGAATGACTTGCTCTATCTATTTTAATTCTTAATCTAAGATCATAATACCTACTTACGTGTTTATCTTACGTGTTTGAATCTATCGAAGCTGAACCAACAACACTTGGAGTGGAGATTCCACAATATGAATAAAATAAACATAATTATCCAGTTTTCTTTAATACCATTCTGGGAGAATATTATTTTTAACTTTATTAAAGATATTTTCAATAGAATTGCCTTGATTTATAACTCGTACCCACTTTTCTTGCTCTTCCGGATACTTTAAGCTGCCTAGTATCACTATCCTTTCCACCAGGAACACAACAAAGATGCGGCATAGCACCAAAAACACACTCCACTTAAGCTTTATTGATGAATTGTTGAGTCTTAAAAAACACACACAAAAATCACGATAAATAAAAAATTTATGAGCACTTTTAGGTTAAAGCACTTAACAAAACGTGTAATATTTCGTGTTTTTTATGAGAAACAGATTGACCATCATAGTAACCATATATCTGGTAGTACTTTATGTCACTTAAACACCAAAATAATTAGTTTTTTGCACTACAATAACAAATAATACCAAAAATCAACCGACAAAATATGAATACAGAATCTAACCCAATATCTAAGTATGTACAGCTGATGAAGTAAACAAAAGTCCGCCCGTGGGCTGTTCTTTTATAGAGGGCGTTGGTCGAATGAGTCATCTATGAATAAAATTTTATACTAATTTTGATTCTAAATTCTAACCAAACAAAAAAGTTGAGGTTGTTAAGTTAGAAAGAAGAACGAAGAACTCTGGAAAAAAGAACTATTTCCAGAGCGATTCCATATAAAATATAAAATGTGGAACGTTTTAATTATAAGTCGCTTTTTAAATTCAAAAAAAGTTCTTACCAAAGTTCTTAATTCACTGCATCGGAATTTTTCTTCAGAACACAAAATAGTATCCACCAAAGATGAGAGTACACTTGTAGCTTGGCACCCGAAACGGGACTTTCCTTACGAGTTCAGTAAACCTCTTCCAGAAGAAAAGATAAAAGAGAATCCTTCCGCGCTTAAAACTCAACTCACTTCAGAGCTGATGTCAATATTTAACAAGAAGACTCCCGAACAAGCCAGACTCGAATTGATGAATATCACGCACACTACAAAACACAGGTGGTTCCCGAGAGCAAGAGATAAAAAGGCCAAGAAAACGCCAATGGACAGAGAATATTTATAACTTGTCTTGACACAAAATCGATTTAACACATTTTGTATATCTTAGATCCATAATTTGTAAGACAAATAAACTATTACGGTTTCACTTGTTAAACCTTTCTATACAAAATATCTTTCATAGATAGAATACATTCTAATAGATAGAATAATAGTATGATTTTTAAATATGCATTTTAAGGAAAGTGAAGAAAACAAGAAAAACAATAATTTTGAGTAGTATGCAATGTCTTAATTTAATAGTGCAATTAAAGCATTAACCACATTCCCATGATTCTCTCTGAGGGTTCTTTCAGCTTTGATTCTAGAAATTGCCATTTCTCCAACTATAAGATCAACGTCCTCTTTTTTAATGGAGATCTGAAATAAATATACTATTAGCTAAGTCCATATATTTACAAACGGATAATATAAAATTGAATTTTTACTACCGTAAAAACTGAACAATATATTTATTTTTACGAACAAAAAGAACATCGTTTACTTTTAGAAGTTCCTTCTCCCTCGCTTGTTTCTCTAAAGCTGCTTGATTTCTTCTATCTCCGATAGCTGATATCGCATTAGCTACGTCCTGTGTCGATATTTCTTTTTCTTCCACATAGTCTGTTACTTTTTCCAGATCTGCAGCTCCACTATCATATTTAGCTTGTTTCTTTTGTTGAGATTTTTCGGAATTTTCATCAGAATTTCCATTAACAGGATCTTCGTCAGCCATTGAACTAAAGTTACTAATATAATACAATAGAAAATAGAATGTTTCTCTGAAAGAAAAATATTATTTTATAAAACTTCCAAGTCAGTTTACTGCAGATTATAATTTTCACAATTTCACAAATCTAACCTATATAAATTTTAGTGTATATCTGGTTGCTGCGCCAATCTGCTAGAATACCTACTTTCAACTTTATATTAAGTTCCTAATGAGTTTGTAAAAAATCATAAAATAAAAAATGATGGAGTCAAATATCTTGCTGATTTAAGCCTACTTTGAAAACCACAAATTACACCACTCGGGAGCAATTTGTTAAATACGGAAAGGATGTCATTATGTTGGAAGTGATATTAAAAAAACAATGTCGATAGGTTTATTTCTAAAAATATTTACAATTATGACACTTCTCAAACGAATATCAATATTTAAATATAACTTAAATTACACGTAAGGAAAGGTGATCATATGATCAAAAAGTTTTATCACAAAGTGGGCTTTGATTATATGACAGTTGTAAAAAAATCTAATGTAATATTCTTTCATAACAATACATTTTCTATCATACAAAACAAAGTATGTACAGGGTGGCCCACTAAGAATAGCTCTCGGCTGGGTAACGGCTGTATCTCGGAAAGTATTAGCCGTAGGGCCTGCGGAAAAAAATATTTATAACTAAAGAGGCTATGAAAAATTGCTGGAAATTATTTTCAAGTTTGTAGAACAACCCCTAGGGGGCGCAACGGCAACAAAAAATAAGAAAATGGAGTTTTTACACGATTTTGCCTAGAGAAGGTGTACTATAAGTAATAGCTTCATAATTTTCAGTAAATTTTGAATATTTTTTGTTAGAACCATTTTCCCCTATCTAGGTACCAAAATAAAGTGGTGGGGGAAGGTTAGATCTGTTTTTATTTAAATTTTAATAGTTCCGGACTGGATGATCGGAATCCAACAAGCGAGGGCTCGTTTAAAAGAGCGTTTCTTACTCTATATTGTCCCATATAAACAATAATAATAAGCTTTTGAACGTAGACGCTAGGGGGCGTTATCTTACAATTTAACAAATATTGCGCGTTTTTTTTTCAAAAAAATTAAATGCGATAGTATATGTAATTTTAGCTGATAGTAAAGGGTAATAAAAGCTTAACAAGTCAGCGAAAACCGCATCTTGATATCTTTTTTCAACCCAAAGTTATTAGCACCTTATTTTTCTAACACGGTAATACTAGCCCTCTTGATTATGAACATTCTGACAAAAAATAAGATAGAAATGATTAGAGTATTCTAAAATCGACAATATACCAGAATACCATAATACCAATCTATTAATATCTAATAATTAAGATATCAGTGACAGTTAATAAGAAACGACGCCTCAGTGAAGTTTTGGTAGGCTTTGGCAAAAAATTGTTTTTGACGTAATAGTATAAACGTCAAAGTGTTATTAGATCAACATTTTGATAGTCTTAGCAGCGTTTTTTCTCTGTTGAAAAAAGGGTTTTTTAGTAAAACAATCAAAAGATAAAAAAAGGCTGCTGAGACTATCAAAATGTTGATATAATAATATTTTGATGTTTAAACTATCCGTTTAAAAGCAACTTTTTTCCAAAGCCTACCATGAATTCACTGAGGTGTCGTTTCTTATCCACCGTCATTGGTATCTTAATTATTAGATATTAATACACGTAGTATTATGGTTTCCTGGTTCATTGTCGATATTTTGAATAAAATAATCTTTTTTATATTATTTTTCATTAGAATGGTCATAATAAAGAGGGCTAGGGATACCGCGTTAGAAAGATAAGGTAATTAAGGGCTTATTTTTTCGTATTTATTATAGTTTTGCTAATAACTTTGGTTTGAAAAAAGATATCAAGATGCGGTTTTCGCTGACTTGTTAAGCTTTTACTACTCTTTGCTATCAGCTAAAATTAAATACAGTATCGCATTTAATTTTTTTGAAAAAACGCGCAATGTTTGTTAAATTGTAAGACAACGCCCCCTAGCGTCTACGTTCAAAAGCTTATTATTATTGTTTATATGGTACAATATAGAGTAAGAAACGCTCTTTTAAACGAGCTCTTGCTTGTTGAATTCCGATCATCCAGTCCGGAGTTATTAATATTTAAATAAAAACAGATCTAACCTCCCCCTCCACTTTATTTTAGCAGATAGGAGAAAATGGTTCTAACAAAAAAGATACAAAATTTACTGAAGATTATGAAGGTATTATTTATAGTACATCGTATCTAGGCAAAATTTCTTAAAAATTCCATTTTGTTATTTTTCATAGCAGTTACGCGTCTAGCGGCCGTCCTACAAACTTGAAAATAATTTCCAGCAATTTCTCATGAGCTGTTTAGTTATAAATACTTTATTCCGCAAGCTCTACGACTAATAGTTTCCGAGATACAGCCGAGAGCTATTCTTAGTGGGACACCCGGTACAACGAGTCAGTGAAGACAGAAGTTTTGACAGAGAACATTCAGAAAATGCCCGAAAATACCATTTGTCTGTGAATCAAAAAGGTCAGACACACCTGCCACTGTCCACTGTCAAATATCCTGCCATTGGACAGATTAAATGGTCATAAAACTTTTTGATTATACTGTATATTACCACTTTTAGGTGCTCATAAAAATATGATAAAAATTTCATTCAAAAAAAGTCCTTTTTATTTTTTTCAGAGTTCAAACTAATCGAAAATAAAATCAATATTTTTCATATTAATGTTTGGTTTCGTAGTTTTTAGAATGTTTAGACCAATGACTAAAGAATACAAGGACATGTAACGGCCATATACGGGCTGCAGCAAAATTTGTGACCTTTAGACGCCATTTTTTTGGACATAACGAATGAATCATCAGCTGTTCATCAGCGACAATTTTAGTGATTTTTAATAGTTGGTTGTATTAGTGAACTTTGTATAAACTTTATTACAATGGGTAATTTGTTCAGTTTTCAAATGTAAAAGGCGCAATGATAAGAAAGATCCAGGAGTTACGTTTAATAGGGAAATAAACAGTCTACACTACACCTTTTTAGCGTTTTTTTTTATTGAATTCGATAATTATTCCTCAATTTCAATTAACATCTATATGTACTTGATATGTGCTATACGTCGATACTAGTTTTGTACCTTTTGTTAAAATTTTAATACGTTTTTTTCGTAATTAATTAGTATGATACCACAGGACACACCAGAGGCGTAGTGAAAATATTTACCAAAAATATAAATATGGCTTCAAGCGGCTATGTTAAAAAAATATGTGCCACGGCACTGTTTAGAAGAATGGTCACAGTTTGGTCTCGGTTGCTATTTGTCCTTGTATTCTTTAGTCATTGATTTAGACGATAATTTTCAATACGTTTTTACGAGCACCCTGTATAATATTTAAAAAAATAATAGATGTTCCGCTCGGCAAATATCATTTAACATAACACTGAAAATTCCACACCTGTAATTTTTAACCAAAACGTGTTTTTTTGACAAATCACCATGGCAACGGATAAATTTTAGTGAAATTTTTTTCCTTGTGGGCACCCAACAGCGAATTATACTGGAAATTTTTTGACGTTTATAATGACAGAATATCTTTTTGAGAGTCTGGTTTTTATTTGTTTACATGATAATCATAGACAAGAGCAAAGAATATCTAAGCCTAGCTAGAAAAAGAATGGACTCTGCCATACTGAAAAATGGTTCTACAGAAGTGGCGCCATCTATTGAGTAGGGCTTGTTTTAAATGGATCGAAGCGTGGGCTTTTAATTAAATTTGATTATTAAATCTTATTTTTTACACAAATTCAACAATACTAATAACAAGTATCGTTGTGATGTGTAAAAAATAAGATTTAACAGTATAATTTATACATTATTATAAATAAAATTAAAGCCAAACATGTGTAAATATTATTTATTATTTAAAGTTTTTATTTATAAATCAAATATTTAAACATCATTTATTATAAGAAAACAAGATCAACGTAATACGCCCAAAGTTTTGTAAATATAAATAGGTATACTTAAATGATGGCAAAAATAAAAGACTTACATTATATTTTTAGGGCCACAAACAAAAGGAATTGTCTAATTTGGTCTAATTAAAACACATATAACAAATTATAGTTTGAAAAACGTTTTGATTATCATTTGATAATATTATGATTGGCGCTATGACAACGACAATATTTTTTGAGAATTTGACAATAGTATGACAATGGCCGTTGGAAACTATGGAAACTACAAAAAAATTCTGATTTAACGCCATCTGGCAATAACTAGTAGCAACTTCTTAACCTAAAAATTAATTGCACTACCACCTAGTGACTAGGGCTGGAACTATTTTATTTGAGATTTCCGTGGAAACGGTGGAACCGCTTTTGCTATTTCACTTTCCCGCCCCTGGACAAGAGATATACTAATTGACTTATCTGCATGATAATTTTGATACATTTCAATTACAAAGCTGAGATGAAAGTTTGTAAACTGCTTCCATACGCTTGACCTCGATTTCTTAGTATTCGCGGGTGTCAACTGCTTAATCTCCTGGCGAATATTTTCTTTGCTTTCATGACCGAAGCGAAACATTTTTTTTAAGCCGAGCCGCTTGACAGCTTCAAAACTGAAATAGTTTTTAGGTTTGGTTTGAGGGCCGGAAAGTGAAATAGCAAAAGCGGTTCCACCGTTTCCATGGAAATTTCAAATAAAATAGTTCCAGCCTCGGGCGCTAGGTGGTAGTGCAATTAATTTTTAGGTTAAGAAGTTGCTACTAGTTATTGCCAGATGGCGTTCAATCAGATTTTTTTTGTAGTTTCCATAGTTTCTAACGGCCATTGTCATACTATTGTCAAATTCTCAAAAACTTGTCGTTGTCATAGCGCCAATCCTTAATATTATCAAAAATGATTATCAAAACGTTTTTCAAACTATAATTGTTATATGTGTTTTTATTAGACAATTCTTTTGTTTGTGGCCCTAAAAATATAATGTAAGTCTTTTATTTTTTGCCATCATTTAAAGTACCTATTTATATTTACTCCACAAAACTTTGGGCGTATTACGTTGGTCTTGTTTTATTATAATAAACGATGTTTAAATATTTGACTTATAAATAAAAACTTTAAATAATAAATAATATTTA